TTTTGCGCAAAATTTGCGCTATTTTCGCGCAAATTTTATTTTTGCGAACTTTTGCGCTATTTTTGCGCATGAAACGCAATGAGTTTTGCGCGGTTTTGCGCTATTTATTTTGCGCAATTTGCGCAAAACCGGAAATATTTTTTGCGAAAGTTGCGCATGAAACGAAATTTTAGTTTTGCGCAATTTTTTTGCGCAATTTGCGCAAAACCGCAAGTTTTACGCAAAATGTAACTTTTTAGGCACATTGTCAAAAATTGATATTCTAAGCTTAGAATTAAACAACTGATCGAAGATTTATTCCATATACAAAAAAAAATATTAACATACGAGTATGATAACGATTATACTACACTCAATTGGTTACTTCCAGTTACAAAAAGTTTAAATTAAGGGACCAAAATTAACAAAATAGAAATTAGAGAGTGTAAAACTTGGCAATATTCTAATCCTATTAAATAATTTCAAGTGACCCGGCCTTAAAAGCTTTGCTTAATCATGAGTATGAATTGTATTCTTAAATTTTTTTAATCAAATTTCTGAAATCTTTTTAATCTCATATAAAATAATGCAAGAAAGTAACCAATGCCTGAAGAATCCACTTTTAGGAAATATGCATGTCCCAAACTAAAATTGTCGAGAAAATTGTGAGATTTGAACTCTTCTTAATTGTCATTGGTCAATTATGTAAAAGTGACCAATAGGAAGACATTTCAAAACAAGATTTTTCCAGAATTGAATTCTAAGAAACACACACCGTCACCAACCGTTTGATTTTTACGAAATTGCGGAATTGCTGATTTGCGCAAAACTCTTGTTGCGGAATTGCGCAAAACTTGAGTTTCGCAAAAGCGGAATAGGGCAATTTTGCGCGAAATGACTTTTGCGAATGATTGCGCAAATTGTTGTTTTTTCGCGCAAAATTGATGCGCAAAGAAAGAAAAATATTGCGTTTCGTTCCGCAAAAATTGCGCAAAAGTTTTGCGAATGGAAACCCTAATTGCGTCACATTTTAGTTTTATAGTGTTATTTGGATTAAGAAGCTCTTTGAAAAAGTATCCTAGAAAAAATAGTATTTAGTTGATCCTGAACCTGAATTCCTGAATGAAAGTGCAGTAAGAGGCATAAAACTGTGTTATGGAAAATGAAAACGACTTTTAAACTAAAGTTTTAATTTTCTATCGTGTAAACACACCAACTGTGCAGTGTACACAGACCTTCTTCACTTAATAAATTTATTTTCAAGCTACTGTTAAAAACTATTCATAAGATAAAATAGACAAAATATTGTAAAAATGTCGTCTACCTATTTTGCAGTTTTATGGGTTTCACTGTATGATAAAAACAATGCAGAATTCTTCAGTGCACACTTTTTCTTTATAGGACGGGGAACTAAAATATAAACATTTCTTTACTTCATTCTTTCTGCACGGAAAAAAAAATATATTTTACATTATTGCAAAGAGACTATTGACAAGTATCCCAATAATAAAAATTCCATGTTCGATTCACAACGAAACAGTCATTAAAAATAAGTCTAATAAAAAAAAAGATATCCTTCTATCTGTATTTGTATCTCTACAGAAAAGACTAGGGGACTAATTCAGTAAAACAATGGATGAAATTCGTCGAAAGCGACAAGATAGAAAACTATAATATATTTCTTATTGTCAATCAGATATAGGTTTAAAGGGTATCGTTGTTAAACTGTTGCCACTTTTTATCACGTGTCATTTTGGGCTGTTACTCATTTAAGAAATTGATTAAAAATAAACTTATTGGATTCAACTTTTTTTCAGAATCTGACAAATTTTTTTTAAATCGACAATTTTAAAAATTAAAAAAAAAATAAATTATTGGATTAACAAAAAGTTCGTTCAATGATAACTCAGATTTATCATTTTTAAGTACATTTCAAGAAGGAAAGGGAAACCAGTTTTTTGAGCCTATTGGGGGAGTCGAAAAAACAATAACCAGGATTGCAGTTTTTTACTTCTTTTGCACCATTTTCTTAAATTTAAAAAAAAAATATTGTAGCAAATAATAAATAAAGGCTCAGTTAAATTAGTCATAATACTTTTGCTATTAATACATTTGCCCTAATTACACTTTACACATGCCATAATTATTTTTGCCATAAGTAACACTTGCCATAAGTTACACTTGCCATAATTTTCTAATTTCTACAAAAACATAATTCAGTCGATTTTTTTGTAAATGCACCAAATTTTCTTATGAGGATTCCTAAATTTGGTTTTTAAAGCAGAAAAGTTTACTAAAGTTAAGTTCCATATTTTCTAAATGGAGGATCCCATGACCTTTGATACCACAAGTAATTAAGGGCAAACCAATGGTTCGTGACAACAATAATTACACCTGCACGTAGCCAATGCCTCGTGTACAGAAGATGAATATTGTAAATGTTAAGTTAAATTGTTAATTGTAGTTTATTGAGTTGTTTATTAAAAAATTTATATTTGGTAATTGTAACTATAACTATTTATTGTAAATATGGCAAGTTTAACCATTATGCAGCAAATTTACTATATGGCAAGTGTAACTTATGGCAAACGTATTATGGCAATACTAATTATGGCAATTGTATTTATGGCAAAAGTATTATGGCAAATGTTGCTAAGTCTAGACGTACAGTTATATAAGAATGAATATATTGACAAAATGACAAATCTTAAAATATATTTTACTACGCGGATGCTTTCATCATTCATCAACTCATGTTTTGTTTGTTGCAAAACATGAGTTGATGAATGTTTTTTTCTTTTTTGTCTCAACTAACTTTATTCACACATCTCACAGATGACACATTTATTCTTAGTTTTCGGGGGGTAAAATTGTTGATTTATTACCTAACACGGTTAATCGAACCCCCCCCCCCCCTCCCTCTTTAATTTTAAGTTTTATTGCCGCAACCATTTTATCTTCGTCTATTTATGCCAATAGAAATATGAAATAATAAACTGATTTCTTAAATTAAGGGGGTTGCACACAACTTGCCCCCCCTAGCCCATTATAGCAATGGTTTCTGGGCCAAAAACGTTGATGACAAAAAAATAAAGAAATGCTTTTAAAAGCCTTCAAATTTTCTTTGCTTTTCTTCGCTGAAATTCAAAAGAAAATTCAGGAATCCAATTACGCAGACTTTCGTTGTATAAACAACTATGTAGTTTTTTTTCTCTATTAAGTCTTTTAGGTCAAGTAATATCGCGAATCGTTAGTGCAACTTTAGCAATTTATGCAAGGGTGTTGAAGTTAAATATTTATTGTTTAACCTTTTTTTACTGAAAAGGTATCGACCATTCTGGTTTAAAGGGTACCGTTGTAAATAGGCCATTCCCTCTTTGTAAAAAGGGTGACATGAACGGGGGGGGGGGGGAGGCAACCCGCGCCCGTTTTACCTCTGACCCTCCGATGACGTCATAAAACGGGATTTGCGACATGTGCTTACTTTATAATTAGCATATACAAATTAAGACATTTTGCCGGAAGGCAAAACGGGTGAGGGTCGGACGGCGTAGGGGTGAGCGCATGCCGCAAATCCCATTTTGTGACGTCATCTGCGGGTCGGAGGTAAAACGGAAGCGGGCCGCCTCCCCTCCCCCTCCTTGAAATTACAACTACAGTCCCTTTGAAGCATCTATACAGTGGAACCCATAAACTTTTGGAATACTACTGTATGACTAAAACTATGATTTTAAAAGCATTTGTGTAAGTGTGTACACTGAAGCCCCATTTCCGTTTCTAAGCCCCCCCCTCCTCTGATTTTTGTAATTTCCCCCTCTAATGATTGCATAATATCATGGGAATTTTAAAATATTTAGTAAATAGTTGAATAGTTTAAAGTGACAGTAACAAGTCAGGGGTGTATAGTGTAACTTCTTAAATCAGGAAAAATAAAAACTTTGAAATTTTTAGATTTTTTTATTTAATAAAATGATTTAACTTATTTTTAGAAAAATTCTACACCCTACTTGGAATTTACTATGTCTTTATACATGATTTTTTTAACGTAAGCTTTCTCATGATGTATTGAAGAGCTTATGTGCGACCATGTGTTATACATACTGTATAGTGTATACTGTACACATTCCTTAAGACTAATAAACAATATAATCGCCCTATGGTGAGCTGGGAACTGTTGTATTGTGGATATCGAGATCAATTTTTGAACTCGTTCTCTAGTTAATCTATTATTTGTATTGAAATATAAAATAAAAGGATATCGAAATCAAAAGATTGGGATTATGAGTATCAAACTCAAAAGTTCCCAGCTATAAACAGTTTATGAAAGAAAATATATCAATAAACAACACAAAGTTTAACCAAGTTAGAACCAAATTAATGAAAAAAAAAATAAGTTTCAGCCACACCCCCCATTTAAAAATAAAAATGATCATATTGGAAGAAGAAGAATTAAGAATACTAATTAAAATTTATAGCTATTGTTCTGTAATTGATTTCTTATCCGATAGTTTTATTTGATTTGAAAAAAAAAAAATGCAATCACAAAAAGTTGAAGAGGTAGTGTAGTCAAAAGATTGAATTGAACGCGGTGTTTAATTATAGCCTGTTAATTATAAACTAATTGAGATGGACAAGAAAGAAACGACCCATGAATGTCAAAACAAATATTAAAACCATGACTGAATAAATTTAGTTCAGGCGTCGCTGAAGTCTAATGCGTTGTGACGATCTAAGTCGTATGTTCCAACTTCCTCAATTTGTATGGGCGCTGTGGGCGCTACGCTCTTCGGTATGAGACGTCTTTATCAATTTTCTCCTTATAGACGCTACAGATATGAGTAAGATTAGTAGCGATCAAAAGCGCTTTTTTATCGCATTAAGCCTATACCCCCTTTCATTTTTCGCGAACACTCCCTTTAATTAGTGCACGTGCTTTACAAATTACGTAAAGTAACCCCATGCGTTGTTATGTGACTTTTGCGACGCAGCCAAGCCTCTTTTCTTTCTTCCGTACGCTTAACTTTGCGTCAAAACAGCCTCCTTCACATATACACATCCTCCACCCACCCTCGCAATATCAACCTCAGTTAACTGTCAGCACTTAACCTTGAAACTCAGTTATTTACAAGGTAGATTAAACGATTTAATTATTCAGCGGCGGCGAGGTGGCCTCTGGTTTTAGTTTACTGAGCTGAAAACTTTAGAATGAGATATTCTTAATCCCATTTCTGTATAAAATCTTAAATGGCGCGCAAAATTTTAAATCTATCGGCTTCATATACGCGACTCTAATAATATCACTTTTCAGGATTAGAATAGTCTCGATATTATGAATTAAAGGAATTAAAGAGAGGACCACGCATTAATCTCCATATCTACTATTCTGAGTAATTATTATTAAAAAAGTTGTTTTGGAGTGTTTAGATGCATACAAAAACTTTTAAACTTAAAGATGTTTTTTTATGAAAAATGTTAAGAAAAAGGCACTGTCATTAATTAATCATTTTTCCTCCCAAAAAAAATCAGTATTTTAAGATTTGAGAATTAATAAAAAGTAAGAATAAAATGAACAATGTTGTACGTACAAAACAATAAAATTTTATTCGTGGTTTATTAGATAATACAAATATTCAATAAACATTTTTATGTTTGGTTCGAAATAGTAGATGAATTTTGTAAAAAGCAATCCATCTCCAAATAAGCTTAATAAGGGAATTTAGTTTTGTGCCTCAAACAAATATTTTTCTACTCTACACAATCTGATGGTGTAAACCTTTCATATTTCAAACTAGCCTGTTTGATCTAACAGAAGTCGACATCGGGTTGCAAAGATAAAGAAAATCAGAGTTTGTGACATAAACTCAGTTTCTTAGGAGCAATTACAGAATTTCAAAGTATAAATAGTACAGTGGAATTAAGGAACTTTTTGATTTTATTTTATAAAGTTAATGAATTATGGTGTTTGAATGGACAAAAAGTGTTCAGACGTACAAATACCTCGTATAAAGAGGATTATTTAGTCTTCAATTGAATCCAATGTTAAATTAGACAATTTGAATTCCTAGTTTTTATAAACTCAATTAAATTCCTATTTTGCTCAATTTAACCTCGAATAGTACAAACAAAAGCTTAAGGTCATCAAAATGTACAAAGCGGTCAACTTGATATCTGAATCCCTCCAGTGGGATTATAAACCACATAGATAGATATCTTAATCCCTCCAGTGGGATTGTCAACCCCTTAAATGGATATCTGAATCCCTCCAGTGGGATTATGAAGCCCCCTAGATGGATATCTGAATCCCTCCAGTGGGATTGTAAACCCCCCTAAATGGATATCTGAACCCCTCTAGTGGGATTATAACCCCCATGATTGGATGTCTGAATCCCTCCAGTGGAATTGTAAACCCCCTTGATGGATACAAAATCCCTCCAGTGGAATGATAAACTTCTGGGAAGATATCTGAATCCCTCCAGTGAGATTATAAACCGCATGAATGGATATCTGAATCCCTCCAGTGGGATTATGAAACCCCCTAGATGGATATCTGAATCCCTCCAGTGAGATTATAAACCACATAGATAGATATCTGAATCCCTCCAGTGGGATTGTCAACCCCCTTAGATGGATATCTGAATCCCTCCAGTGGGATTGTGAACCCCCCTAGATGGATATCTGAACCCCTCCAGTGGGATTATAACCCCCATGATTGGATATCTGAATCCCTCCAGTGGAATTGTAAACACCCTAGATGGATACGAAATCCCTAAAGTGGAATCATAAACCTTCTGGGAAGATATCTGAATCCCTCTAGTTGGATTTTAGAGCCCTAGGGAGACTATCTGAATCTCTCCGGTGGAATGTAAATCACACTGTGTAAAGTTTCAATTCAATAACAGTAAGTTTCTCAAACCCCTCCGGTGAAAATAACATCCCTCCGCTAGTCTCCAGTGGAGTCCATATCTTCCTACTAACTTCTTTGACGCCGTATAAAGAGGATTATTTAGTCTTCTCTTGAACCCAATGTTAGACAATTTGAATTCCTCGTTTTTATAAACTCAATTAAATTCCCATTTTGCTCAATTTAACCTCGAATAGTACAAACAAAAGCTTAAGGTCATCAAAATGTACAAAGCGGTCAACTTTATTAAATTTCATTTGATTTTGTAAGAAATGACCCCTAACCTCTTTTAAAACTTTGGACAACACTCTTTTAAAAAAAACCTAATATTTTGTTTGTTAAAAAGCATGGAAAGTAAGAGACGAATTGAAAATCATTTTCGTTTTCCTATGGTCTATTAATCACAAAGAATGTATAAAAATTAAGAAGGAACGTCTTATGACCTTTTAAAAATGAGGTCTGGTTTCTTTGTGTCTTCAAAATTGACGGAACTATTAAATATTTGAAAGATTTCGTTGTTCTTTTATAAATTAGAATATTTCTTATACCTCCGTCAATTTTTTAGGTGCAAATATTTTAAACCACATTTTAAAACTCCCTAGACTAGTAGTTTTAATTATTAACTGTTTTAACCGGAAAACTGCAAAATGACGGGAAATAACCGGGAATATACACAGTTTGGTTCATTGAACGAAATATTAAAATACTTTCTGCAGTTCGATATTGCGAAACAAAAGTGTTAGAGTTTCATACGTAATAATTTACCTTATCTTAACTACGTTGAGTCTTAATTTACCCTGTCTTAACTACATTGAGTCTTAATTTACTCTATCTTAACTACGTTGAGTCTTAATTTACCCTGTCTTAACGACATTGAGTCTTAATTTACTCTGTCTTAACTACATTGAGTCTTAATTTACCCTGTCTTAACTACATTAAGTCTTAATTTACCTTATCTTAACTACGTCGAATCTTAATTTACCCTGTCTTAACTACATTGAGTCTTAATTTACCCTGTCTTAACTACATTGAGTCTTAATTTACCCTCTCTTAACTACATTGAGTCTTAATTTACCTTGTCTTAACTACGTTGAGTCTTAATTTTCCCTGTCTTAACTACGTTGAGTCTTAATTCACCCTGTCTTAACTATATTGAGTCTTAATTTACCCTGTCTTAACTACATTGAGTCTTAATTTACCTTATCTTAACTACATTGAGTCTTAATTTACCCTGTCTTAACTACAGTGAGTCTTAATTCACCCTGTCCTAACTACATTGAGTCTTAATTTACCCTAGATTTTAACTACATTGAGTCTTAATTCACCCTGTCCTAACTACATTGAGTCTTAATTTACCCTATCTTAACTACATTGAGTCTTAATTCACCCTGTCCTAACTATATTGAGTCTTAATTCACCCTGTCCTAACTACATTGAGTCTTAATTCACCCTATCCTAACTACATTGAGTCTTAATTCACCCTGTCCTAACTGCATTGAGTCTTGATTCACCCTGTCCTAACTACATACTTTGAGTCTTTGCCACAAACTCTGATTTTATAATTACCATATATCTATTCAATACAATGTTTTAGACCTTAGATTTGTCAAACTATGAATTATATTGGATCAAATATTTTAAGTTGGAAATAGCAAAGGTTTCCATCGGATAGCAAATATATGGGGATTAGAAAAATCGTGGCAAAGACTCTATTCTTTGAATAGTTATAATGTTTTATAAATAATTAGATTAGCTGTTGTAAAAGAAAAGGGTAAATATGAGACAGAAAAAAAAACAATTTTTCAATTCCAAGATTCATTGAAAGAAAACGCATGACTGAAAAAGTGTTATTCCAGACTGCTTCGCACTATTCATTACAAACTTATTTACAAAAACAACACAAGTCTGACGTCACAATTCATTGTCAAGAATTTAAAGAGTGGGATAGCTGAAATACTTTCCATGTTGAATCACATCTCTTTCTTTATAAACAACAACACTTTTTATAAGAATCATTATTATATAATACTTGCTTATTATAAAATGAACAATATTCATTATGAATGAAATTGATTAATTTAATAAATGTTATATGGTTTTTAGAATAAATTATCTAAATTTTGACAAAATATAATATGCCATTGGGTCATGTGAGATGTCACAAAAAGGCTTAATCGGTTTTAACTTTTAGAATTTTTTGTTTGTACAAACAGACATTCAATTGTCAGATACTAGGCTTAGCGCGCTTCGCTTTGCTTTGGTTTTAACTTAAAATTTTGTTCTGTCTGCCACATTTTCCCTTCTTAAATTATCATAAAATGACAAAAAAAGAAATTGAGTCTTTGCAACATACTCTGATTTACTCATCTCTATATTTTTGCAACTAAATGTCGTAGACCTGAAATATTTCCAACTATGAATTCTATTAGATCAAATAATCAAAGTTTGAAATGTTAAATGTTTAAATCATTTAGTTGCAAAGTTAAAGGTTTTAGAAAATCAGAGTTTGTGGCTGACACTCAATTTCTTTCGGGAATGTTTCGATTTTTTCGTTGATTTTGATAAATCAAAAATCTTTTAGGGCGAATTTTATCCATTTTGATTATTAAAAAAAAAATCCCTTGGGTCATTTTTCATGTCACCGAAAAATTGGGCATAATCGGTTCAGCCGCTATGGTATAAACATACATCGAAATGTAAGATAAGCAGCAAACATGTTACTTTCACAATCACAAGAGTACCAAAGATATTCATTAAAACTCTTTATTTTCAATATGTTGGCGTAGTCGAGTTACATGTGACTTAATAGAATTAAACAAACTTCTTTCATAGAGAAGTTTGTATTCTAAATTATTGCCCCCCCCCCTCCCTCCTCTCTCCGGCCCTACCATCCCCTTTTATGTAAAACAGCAATCTGCATAAAAACCGATTAAATTGAACACATAAATTCTTTTTTTTTAATCACTAACTCTCCATTTAAAAACTGTTACCTAATCCAAGTTAATGTTACACATGTCATTAAAACAAGAAATAACATGTTTTTCACCAAAATTTTACATTTTAGTTTTTACGTCAATTTGTTTGTTTGAAAAGATTTTTGAAAAGAAATAGGATATTTGTCAGACAAAATCTTCAGTTCTTTACAACAATATTATGTAATGTAATATGTTTATTATATTTTGAGTAACTGAAAATAGTAGAATTAAAATCGGTACCTACATATTTTCGGCATGTTTGACTGTTAGTGTGTTTGCTTGTGATAATAAATCCAACAAAGCACAATTATTCTTGCATTGTTTATGTTCGTGTTAAAAAGTTCTCCCAAAAAGGGAACTGAGTTTTTACCACAAATTTTAAACTTTCTGATTCCTATATCTTTACAAATTAATGGCGCAGACCTTTCATATTTCAAACTTAGGCTACTTAATCTAACATAATTTGTAGTTTGAAATATAAAAAGATCTACGACCTCAGGTTGAAAAGCTAGATGTAAGGTTTAGAAAATCAGAGTATGTGGCAAAAACTCGATTCCTTCAGAATTCCGCCAACACAACAAGAATATCTGTTTAGGTGTACCGTGTAATTATGTCAAACATTAATCTCTTAAAATATAGAAAGGCAAACCCTCTCTGCACTCGTTTAACTGACGCATTATTAGTGTTAAAGCATATCTTCGCAGGGATTAAATTCCTGTGAAAGTTGAGCCTACCCAGACCCCAGCATATCTAGGTCTGAGCATCTTTTAACTTTTTTTAATCTGAACTTTCAAGGATGTTTAAATCAATTTCAATTTCAAAAAGTTCAATTTAACCATGTAATTACTATCATCAAATGAAAAGTTTTAAGTCTTGGATCCCCCCCCCCCGACCCCCCCCCCTCCAAAAAATCACCTTTTATTATTTATTATTAATAATCAATTTAAAGTTGTTTCTGTTTTCAAAAACAAACTTAACAGCTTTATCCGTTTGTTACCAGCATTTTAATTGGTCAAAGATATACTTTCTAAACTATCGAAATAGATACTATAGCTATACATTTAATAATTAACGTAAATTTTTGGTTGATTAATAACATTTAAATTAACTTCTATTTTTTCCGTTTTAAAAACTTTCATTTACATAAAAGACTTTGCCCAGGTCTAGGCCTATATCTAGACTATCCTGAAAAGCCCCCCGGGGATGTTTAGATAACTAATTGTTTGTAAACACAAACCTGCTGGGATTCATCTTTGAGGAATAGTTTTAATAAGAAGACGTGGCGAATGAGAAGCTCAAAAAAGAATGATCAACATCATTATAATACAAAATATCATCACCACGTCAAGATTATTATTTTCCTAAAATTTCACTTTTATAATGAAGTTCTAAGAAAAACAAGAAATTGAAAACTGTACAATCTTTTTCTAGGATTTGTTTTCCAAACTGTTCAAGGATCATTTAGGATATATATTCGCCATGAAACTATTTGCACAATACAAAATGTTGCAATGACAAACAAAATGACATTTACGTAATACGAATAGTTTCAATTTTATTACTTGTTTTTCTCTTTCATATAAACAACAATAAAAAACTCGATGATTATAACAATAATTTTAATACTTTTTAGCGGTTTAAAATCAGGCATTCTTGAACAAAAAGTTTAAAAGTAACAAATTCCTGATCTGAAAAATAAACAACTTCAAAGCAGAAATGTCTATTATTAATGAAATTTCCATAAACATTTTGAATGTGTCCAATTATACTTTCCTCAACGTTTCTCATTTATGCTATACAATGAACTCAACTGAATTCTTTCAGGGTCTATCGACACAATGTCATGTAACCCAACATTTAAGGTGGGGCATGTGACATTAATGTACATTCGTTTGAGAAAAAATTATATTCTTGGTTACTTTCAATTAAAAATTGATAATCATGGATTTTTTAAATTGACTTTATGTAGCGGATGAAATAACGCCTCTACGGTTCCTTTAAAGGGACTGTTGTATAAAGAGACTCTCCTTTTACAGACGAAAATGACCGATTTACAATGGTACCATTAAAAGCTTTGGCTGCTGAAGAATATCCATGTTTATAATTTGGAAAACTAATCATTCTCAATTGGGATTTCTCTGCTTGAGTATTTATAATGCCGGAAAATATAAAGAATTTATCAGAATTAATCACTTTTAAACCAAGAAAAACGACAATATCTTCCACACTATTGGTCAGATAAAGGTTTCAAGGAGGGTCACTTGAAGTAACACTTACTGTCCCTTTAATTAGTTATTTTCCAGGAAAAAATTGATGCAAAATGCCAACCGTTGAAGCCATCCCAACAACATCAAAATCAAAATGTCTCTCACAAGACGAAATTCTAATTGACAAGGGCAGCCAAAGAGTATCAATAGAAACTGGAGAATCAAGACGCAACTCAGATCAATCAGATTTGATCAGTGATCATAGAGCACATTCAACAAATCAAAAGAAACTTATTACACAGCTTGTAAATCACTTAAACGATTTTAGTGATAAAAGAAATTTAAATGGATATGATTATAACCAAGAAGATCAAATAACTCAATATGATCAAGAAAATCGTGAGTTCACTGAAATCACAAGCAGACAGCAGTTAAAAAATGATTTTCCTGACAAATCTGAAATATCAAAAAGCATTAAAGAATGGTTGAATGAAAAAACAAGGTATTTTGCAATAAAACAAAATAAAAATTTAAATCATAAATAATTGTATCTTTTTTTCAGCCATGGATTTCTTAGATGGGTTCAAGCTAAATATGTAGCAGAAATAAGGTAATTCAGCGAAATTCAATTGAAACATCAATGGTTTTTTTCTACCCCCAACCTCGACTGTTTTTTTACTGTTAAATGTTAGAAATAAGACTCTAACAAGCTTCAAATTCTCAATTCTCAAAATTTATTTTTATTTTACAGCTACGAAGCAGAAGAAGAACAGATTGATTTTGAAGATGGAGTAGTAAGAATATTTGACCCCTACTATGCTGTAGACTTAGGTAAAATTTAGGATATTTTTCGTTAACTTACAGATTTTTAGAATTGGGGGAATCTTCTTGGTATTGTGTACACTGAAGAGAAACTCGCGGATTTCTATTTACATTTTCTAGGATCTTCTTAAAATCTGGAGAAAATTTTTTAAAGATTTGCCCTTAGTTAATTTTCCTTTTTTTGGAGAATATAGGCTATAGCTAGTATAGTGAGTATATATAAGACAATATGACAACTTTAAATAATAAGTTGTCTAGCTTTCGATGATATAGCCAGCAAAGAGGGTAAATGTGGACAATATGACCACTTTAAATCATAATTGTTCTTGGTTTAGATGATATAGCTAGTATAGAGGGTAAGCTGGATAAAAAAGGGTATCCTCTGAACAGAGCTAGTGTTACAACACACTCTGGAGATACTTTAATAGGAATCTGGAGAAACGGAACCAGGTATTGAAAACCGGAAATTTAAGCAGAGCAGCAGAGCCAGGAAAGGAAATTCCCTAATTTTATCGCTTTTTAAGATAGATAAAGCACACACAAGAGGTTTCTCATTGCTGCTTTTTTAGACTTTTAAAAGTTATTTTTGTGAAACAGACCTCCATATATATAAAATTGTAATCTTTGTTTGTTGGTTTGGATATCCGATCATAACTTAGGAACCCTTTGACCGATTTGCCTTACATTTTGATTGGGGAACTCGGGAGACCCACTTAAATGTTCTTAGCTTGGTTTTGAGAAGTTGAGTAAATTCCCTTTTTTTGGAAAAAATGGCTAAAATCGTAATTTACGACCAAGCATGAGTAAACGGAGGGTGTAACTAGAAGTATCCTAGGCAACGCTGGGTTCTCAAGCTAGTCTAATCATGAAAGTCGTCTTTGTACACTCATAATTTGAGGTTAACTCTGTACTTTATCAGATGTGGGAATGGAAAATCTCTTGGTGAGAATATGGCTAAATATGGATTGGAACTAGTTCAGGTATTTAGGATGTTTTGGGTCTTCAAAATTAAAACAATGATGTTAACAAACCTTTTTCGAATCAGTGCTTAGGATCCTATTAATGGTTTGGATCCAACGGATCCGGATCCTCTATTAATGGTTTGGATCCAACGGATCCGGATCCTAAGCACAAAGGAAAATCTAATAAGCACAAAATTTCAGGGTCCATACGGAAATGGGATTCTACATGGTTTCGGAAGGGGCAAGCTGAATACTGGACATTGTTTTGAAGGATTTTTCAATAACGGATATTTAGGTAAGATTTATCCTTAAATAGGCTATTTTAATGTGAAACAAGCGATTTTGATAAGAGGATAATAATAATAAATATTTACAACTACGTACAGTACGCGAAGTTAAGAGAATTTCAATTTACCCAGGGTTCTCAAGACCAATACCAGGCAATTTAAAGCAATTTAAGCCCCAGCTTGGTTATGTAATATTTTAATTTCCCAAAATTCGACAAAAAAAACTTTTGAGATAAAACAAAGGGTTTCCAGCGAAAAAGAAAAATTGTTTCGCGAAAATTTCGCATTCTTGCCGAAAAACAAAATTTTCACTTTTTTCGCGTAATTTTGCTTGAATCTGTTTCGCCAAAAATTCAGAATTGCGAAAATTTAGCAAAAAAAAACCGAAAGTTTCTCAAAAAAAGCGAAAATTTCGTGAAAAAATACGGAATTTAATAAAATGTTAAATTTTTGCGAAAAAAATGTTCGCGAAATGCGAAATTTTCGTGATATTTCCCACTTTTCGCTTAATTCATTTTCGAAAATTTCGCAAAATAATGTATCATACTTTAGCGCATAATTGAATAAAAAATCATCCTTATTTGTTACCACATTGTATTTTATAGTTTACTCCCAGCTGCACACAGTTTAAACTACTTACTTCTAGCCGCATAATTAATTAGGAACCTCTAAACATATCTTAAAAGATAAAACAGAAATTCAAAAAAATTGCAAATGCATTTTCTGCTTCAATTTAGATAAGTTTATTTGCAATTTAAAGAAGATGACCGGGCGGCTGCGGTGTTTTAGAACTTGACGTTTACAGCTTGAGTATAATTTATCTAACTCCTACTGCCACGTGCACACAATTCATACATCCCTCATGGCAAAACAATGAATCAAATGAATCCCACGAAGCATGACAGTAGCAAGAAAATCTGAAGGTCGTCTTTGATCTTTAAAATAATTTGCGGCATATATTCATAAAACTGAACCGAAAACTAAAAACCATCCAAAAATACCCAAGGTCATGGCATTTCCAAAATTCAGATTTCGTTAATGGCAGACCACATTTTGGAATTCCCAAAACTAGTAGAATGTAATGAATAAATTCAAAGTTTAAAAAGTTAATTTTAATTTTAAGAATGTAATGAATAAATTCAAAGTTTAAAAAGTTAATTCTAAGTCGTCTTGCTACTGTCATGTTTGGTGGGACACCCTGTATTTGTTTTAATTTCAACCGCTTGTTTTATACAACACATATATAACAAAATATCAAACGTTGTTTGTTTTTTAAACGTTTTAGAATTTTGGACTTTCAAAATGCAAAACCAAAAACTGAACATTTCAAAAACTGTTTTAAGTAAAGAGTTTGCTTTTGTTTTGCTAAATTTTTACATTATTGAGAATTAATGAGAAAAAATCAGGGTCAAAATTTGGTTTAGCTAAATAAAGGCAAATTTTTTGATAAAACAGTTCTGAAACTCATCACATTTTTCTGAATTGCTTTTCAGTCAAAAATTCGTTAAACTTTGAAACGAAGCAAGTTAGTTCTTAAATGTGTAATTGACTTTTTTAAATCTATAAAATAACGAGGCTTTTCTTCGTGTCTATTTATTTTTAAGCAATTTTAGATTAAAACTCTAAAAGTCGGGATATTAAATCGTTCTTAAATTTCAACGGTTTTTTTCTTTTTAAATTCTCAAAAAAAATTAATTTCGACATTTTTTCTAGGTAAAATTGTTCAAATTCGGCCAGTCTTTGGGCAGGTTATTTGAGTTGGATCAAAAATGTTGGGCTCTAGCCTCTATCCTATCAGCCGCTCTTACTCTTATGAGATCCAAAGTCAAGTCAAGCCAAGTATATATTTAAAAGTTCCAAGGTTAATTTTTGTTATTGTTTAGAGGGCCCAGTTGTTGGGGTTCCAGAACCTCAATCTTTCTTACAAGCACACCAGGAGCATAATCTTCAAACAAAAGGTATTTTCTTTTAAAAACTAAAAGTGTTGCAAAATGTTTTTAATTCAAAGAAAGGAGGTGTTGAATTTTATGCGTAAAAGTGGAGTAGACATTTGTTTTGAGTTTAATGCATTTTAGCAAGGTGTAATATATATAAAGCCGTTAGGTAGGGGAATAGAATTTACATACATTTTACTTTGAAGATAAAGAGAGCAATAAGGAAAATCGTAACATCAAAAATACTAAATGTTCGGCGAAAAAATTAACGAAACTTGACCTTNCCCCCCCCAACATCTTTTTCATATAAAAAATTGCTTTAAAGACACTTGGCTAATGGATATAACCTTTTTCTTAAATTGGAACATGAGACGTAATTTTACACAACAAGTGTACCCTTATAAAAACCGTTATCTGATCAATAATATGGAAAATATATATTACCGTTTTTCTAAATTCAAAAGTGTTTCTTTCTGATAATTCCTATTTGTTTTCCTACAGCATAGATGCGCAAGTCATGTTTGTGCAGAGAATCACCAATGGAAGATAATTAGTTTTCAAACATTGATACAAAATTCATACTTGTCCATACAAAGCCTTTGAGAGTACCGTTGTGAATCGGACATTGACATGTTTGCATGGAGGGTTACTTGAAATTAACCTTAGGTCCCTTAAAGGTCTGATTAGAGGGCACCACAGCTCAGGCGCGTAGTGGAGGTTTAGCCTAGGGGGGTGCACCTTTTTTTGTGCACCCCCCTAAAAAACCTGTATTAAATAAAAAATACAGTTTAAAATCTAAATAAATCTACCTGAAGGCTGACAATTAGTCATCTTACCACAATTACCAATCTTTTTAATTGAAACCCCGCGAAAAAAATATTGTAAATAAAATTATGGTACAAGAAAGAATTTGAGAAATAATCATAAAATGGACAAATTGTGACATTGTCGATTGATAAGAAAAGTAAAAAAAAAGTTTACTGTTTAATAAATTAGAGCCTGCCTCTGGCTCTATGGGGGGCCTAGGGGGTGCATGTCTAGTGGGCACAGGGGTACAGGCCCCCCCCCTCCACTACGCGCCTGCCACAGCTTCATTATAACTTTTTGGTCTGATTTATTTCTCTTCCAGATTTTGAATACTTGTCACACAGAATCAGTAACTTCAAAAAAGGTCTTCCTTCGGGATATGCTTGGCAAGAACTGCTCGGAGGAGGATGGATTCATGGACAGGTACAGTGAAAGGATTGGTCATATATATGCTCTTGTACACTCCTCCTGAAGGGACTGAAATTTCACGTGACCCTCCATGCAAGAAGATGACAAGGCCCTATACAAAGGTACCGTTGTGAATCGGGCATGGCTATCTTTGCATTGAGACTGGAGGGTTACTTAAAATTACGCTTACAGTCGCTTTAAATCTTCTTTTTTTTTCTCTCGAAGAATTTTTACAGAACTTCACAAAAACATGTTCTTAACCTGGGATTGTAATTTATGTACACGAGAACTAACTACAGCTTTTTTAACCACCTAGCTCTTTATCAATATGAACCAGAGCCTTGAGAGGTGGTTATATTTCGCAGCACGAGATAAAATGTAAAAGTAGCCGAACTTATACTTCTCTCGTGTGATATTCTAAATTCAAAGAAAAAAAATAGAAAGACGCCATTTTAGAATTACTTAAGTGTATTTGATGTTGTTACAAAGCAAATAGATTTGCTATAGAAAATTATGGTGGTAAGCGATTATATTAGTTTAAGGAAGGCGACTTTTATTAAAGTTTTAATGCTTAAGAAGCTTATTTAGATTTAAAAGTTTACAAGTAATTAAGGAGACGCTTTTTAAATTGACAGCTTCTCTTTGTTCTCGTTTTTTATGCTTAAAAGCTTGATATTAGTCAAAATTGAAAAATAAAGTCGTCTTCATTTTATCAATGTAATCACCTACCACCGTATTCAATCACTAATTTAGTCAAATGGGTCTGTTTACACTGCACAATTTCTGTGTTTTATGTTCATCGGTCTTTTTAAAGCTATAACTTGATTTTTATAGTCATCTATCTATTTCAGAGTTTTTCTATAGTATTAGATACAAGGTTTTCTATAGTATTAGATACAAGGTTTTTTATATTATTAGATACAGGGTTTTCTATAGTATTAGATACAAGGTTTTCTCACGTAAATATCTTAACAATCCCTTTATACCAGGTTGACCGCAAGGGTGAGCTAACAGGGGATAATATCCTTTACCTGTATCCAGATTTCTTTACCTGTCTTGTTGGAAAATTTAAGGTAAATTTGAAAATTTAAAAATATTAAAAGTAAAGGGGTAAACGCATTTGTTGAAAGTTTTAGAATGAGTTAAGGTGTAATTTCAATGTAAATACAGGGTGTTCCACGAAACATGACAGTTGGTAAATAGTTTTGAATGTCATCTTCCATACACTGTATTAGCTATTAAAGGCTGTTTGCAGTTTATTTCATTTAACAAATCTTTTGCTCAAATATTTTTTACTTTAAAATTAATTTTACTATAATATGACGCCTATATAATATTTTTATTATTGTCTTTGGTATTAAACAAGTTAACAAATTATGGAAGAAGACATTTTAAACTGTTTACCAGCTGTCATGTTTCGTGGAACACCCTGTAGCAGAATCAAACGGAATCCTTCAATCCTTCCTCCAAGCGGAAATTAGTTAGGCTTGGTTTTCTATATTAGAGTGATAAGTTTAATTAGTGGTTCTCCATAAAAGAAACTTAAGGATTTATGCAGCAGAGACAACGAAGGAACTTGAGAGAAATTTTACTACTTCAAGACAGAGAAAACAACGATGCCTTATTGATTGCTTATCCAATAAAGAGTTAAAATGGGAACTGCTATGATTCAGGCATGTCACTTTCTACTAATGGAAGATTAAAATGGGAACTGCTATGATTCAGGCATGTCACGTTCTACTAATGGAAGGTTAAAATGGGAACTGCTATGATTCAGGCATGTTACTTTCTACTAATGGAAGATTAAAATGGGAACTGCTATGATTCAGGCATGTCGCGTTCTACTAATGGAAGGTTAAAATGGGAACTGCTATGATTCAGGCATGTCACGTTCTACTAATGGAAGGTTAAATGGGAACTGCTATGCTTCAGGCATTCCACCTTCTACTAATGGAAGGTTAAAATGGGAACTGCTATGATTCAGGCATTCCACGTTCTACTAATGGAAGGTTTAAATGGGAACTGCTATGCTTCAGGCATTCCACCTTCTACTAATGGAAGGTTAAATGGGAACTGCTATGATTCAGGCATGTCACGTTCTACTAATGGAAAGTTAAAATGACTTCTATCGTTTACTATATCTTTAAGTTTAAATAAGTGTCTTTATAAAGATTAAAGTTGTTCAATGGCCTATGTGTTTTATGTGTACGCTTTTTTAAAAATGAAAATAACTATTAACAACGAAGAAAGTAGTGTCATTGTAGAAATGAAATGTGTTTCAAAGACCCAATTATGTATTATTTATACTCTTTTAAAGGTTTTAAAAAGCTCTGTAAAAAGCAGTGTCATTTTAGAAATGAAATGTTTTTTTCAATGAACCATGTATTTTATGTGTACGCTTTAGAAAAGAATGCATAAAGCTTTTAGCAACGAAAACGCCTTAAGTTTTTTGAAAAATGTTGTAGTGCTTTGACCCATAACTCAAGTATTTTTAACTCATTTATCATTTCAGCTAGAAATCGCGGGCAATAGAATGTCCTAAAATGTGCACACTATAAAGAAAAACATTCATAACGAAGAATAATCCAAAATACTTAATTTGTCCATATTAACTTTGAGATCTATATCGTGTATTAGTTTTCATGGTAAATTAGGGGGAAAATATCCTACTATTTTGTGTTTTACGATAATAATAATAATAATAATAATAATAATAATGATAATAATAATAATAATAATAGTAATAATAATAATAATAATAATAATAATTATAATAATAATTATATATATATGTATATATTTATATGTAGATAATAACATATATAATATGTATATATATATATATATATTATATACGCATTTTCTGTAAACTCACTCTGATTTAACAATTCGGTCCTTGTCCCAGCAAATTGTCACTTCCTAAATTGACCACTTAAAAATATATTTTTATTTTTTACTGTTTTATACTTTTTGTCAGCGGAGGCAAAAATATTAAAGGAAAAATGTTGTAATTTTAAAGATTGTTGACAAAAGTACAATACTTGAAGAATATGTACAAAGTGTACGTCATTAGTTGTAGAAATATCAAAATATATATTCTCTGTATGCTTTCTATGCATTTAACAGTTCTCAAGAAGGCTAATATTCAAAAACTAGGAGGTCAAATGTTCTTGCAAAATATGACAAAAGTAATCTGAAAGAATTTAAGAAATGTAAAAAAGAGTCGTGAGTTAGTGATGGCTATTACCGTTCTGTCAGATCATTTTTAACTATCATTTTCAAATATATACTGGTATTTGCGGATTGCTGCACCTCTGATTAGCAAAAAGTAACAAGAAAATCTTAGGAAATAGCAAATATTATGGATTGTTTTGAACTATTGATTAATTCACCTAAAATAGATAATCGCTAAAAATTGCACTTAGTTCTTTTGTGAACATTTTCTCTTTGTATATATTGTAAAACAAAATAAAATGGCGGATTTAAAAAAAAACGTGGATTTTTAAAATTTAATGAAAATCTAATTTTGATAGAGGCTAATATTTGAAATTTAAAACATCCAAAAACCTTTCTTGGCGTCATGTTAGGTCCCACAAAAAAATTGGGTCTGATCGGTTCAGCCGTTTTGACGTTTATTGGATACAAACATACAGACACCCAGACAAGCAAAGTATATATATAATAGATAACCTTCTTAGTTTAGAGACAGCATTGCTATATAAAAAACTGTAAAATATTTTGCCTTAAAATACACGTGACCCTCCATTCTAAGCGTTAACTTCTTTATCCACAACGGTAGTCTTTAATATAGAAACATACCTAATCAGACAACTCTCTTAAGGATACTGTTGTGAATCGGGCATTGAAATCTCTGCATGGAGGGTCAATAGAAATTACGCTAACAGTCCCTTTAATTAACCGATTTCTTTATTTAGAAAGGAGTGATGTTGGAAGCCCGGCTGTCCTATATAGAATCACTGGGTTGGGAGAATGAGATCATGTTTGTTGAAGCACACTATCCTCTACTCACAGATCATGTTTATAAATACAGTCCTTCTTCATCTCATGGATTCACAGTTGACACGGTGAGTAAAAAAAACGATTAAAAATGGTGTCAGGTGTTTTCCCGAGAGACAATTTTGCAACTGGCAAGTGGCAACCTCCGAAAGGTCAGGTTAGGTCATCTGAGCCACCACAGGTTGCAAATGGGGCAGAGTGTTGCGGCTAGAACAGGCTAGGGGGTCGAGCGCTGCAGCTAGAACAATCTTGGTAAGTTGGTGTACGGGAAATTGCACATCTGGGAAGTTGCCACTTGGGAAAATACTCTTGGGAAGTTGCTGCCTGGACAAATTGTTTTTGGACAGCCATTCAAAATTTCTCAGGCTTTACGGAAAGAAAGACGCAGTTGAACCAGGGCCGGGGCTGAATTTAGAGAATTTGAGCCGCGTCTCAAATTTGAGATGCTGCTGCGTAGTTCAACTTAGTCTAAACAGATCAACTATGTCTTGCTATCCATCAAATCTGGTCTAAGAATACTTTTTGAATTTGATAATCTTTGCTGTTTAGCTTGTACCTGATCCATATGAGAGTATGAGGACTGAGGTTAGAAGATCCTCTATACTAGGAGCAGGAGAAGGATTGTTTGCTACCAGGGATATTCTACAAGGAGATATAGTCAGGTAAACCCTCTACACTAGGATATATAGTCAGGTAGATCTTCTCTACAAGGAGATATAGTCAGGTAGATCCTCTAATATAGTCAGGTAGATCCTCTACACTAGGAGATATAGTCAGGTAGATCTTCTATACAAGGAGATATAGTCAGGTAGATCCTCTATACAAGGAGATATAGTCAGGTAGATCCTCTATACAAGGAGATATAGTCAGGTAGATCCTCTCTACAAGGAGATAAAGTCAGGAAGATCCTCTATACAAGGAGATATAGTCAGGTAGATCCTCTATACAAGGAGATATAGTCAGGTAGATCTTCTCTACAAGGAGATATAGCCTGATAGATCCTCTATACAAGGAGATAAAGTCAGGTAGATCCTCTACACTAAGAGATATAGTCAGGTAGATCTTCTCTACAAGGAGATATAGTCAGGTAGATCCTCTATACAAGGAGATATAGTCAGGTAGATCTTCTCTACAAGGAGATATAGTCAGGTAGATCTTTTCTACAAGGAGATAAAGTCAGGTAGATCCATACAAGGAGATAAAGTCAGGTAAAACCTCTATACCAAGATATATAGGCTGGTAAATCCTCTAAACTATTCAAACCCAATTCTCTATTTTAAAGATATTTATTGACAATAAAAAATATGGTTTAAAACCCCATGGAATGCAACCAAAATTGGCTTTTCTTACGTTCAATGTTTAACAATAAAACTAGGTCGCAAAGTTATGCAAGTAATGTCCCTAAATGCACTCTTAATCAATGATTAAGAGTAAATATGATTTTTGTTAAGTTTCTACCATGGACTGAGATACCCAGCTCGAACTCCGTGTAAAAACAAAAACTATGATTATCAAATATTCTTAGATTGGGTCAGGTCAGATCATTTTCTATTTAATTTATCTAATTCTTTTTATGAAATTAAGTTCAATCAAAAATACTATTCTTTGAGCAAAATGTTTCTCCACGGAAAATATCATCTTTAAAGTAAAAACCGAAAATCTTTTCGTAAAAACATTTCCAAAATTCATTAATAGTCTTTTGATCAAAATTGCTTTAATTTCAGTAAAATTGTTTTTCTTTTAGTAAAATTATTATTATTTCAGTAAAATTGTTATTCTTTCAGTAAAATTGTTATCCTTTCAGTAAAATTGTTATCCTTTCAGTAAAATTGTTATCTTTTCAGTAAAATTGTTATCATTTCAGTTAAATTGTTATCCTTTCAGTTAAATTGTTATCCTTTCAGTAAAATTGTTATCCTTTCTATAAAATTGTTATACTTTAAGTAAAATTGTTATCCTTTCAGTTAAATTGTTATCCTTTCAGTAAAATTGTTTTCCTTTCAGTTAAATTGTTATCCTTTCAGTAAATTGTTATCCTATCAGTAAAATTGCTATCCTATCAGTAAAATTGTTATCCTTTCAGTAAATTGTTATCTTATCAGTAAATTATAATCCTTTTAGTAAAATGTTATTTTTTCATTAAAAAAGTTATACCAACAGTAAAATTTGTTTAAACCTCTGAAACTTTTTTTCTTTCTTTCTATTTCTCAGTTTACATATAAAAGATTTTCTATTTTAATATTTCAGAGCTCCTGACTCCGATTATCTTGATATACCACAGGAGTTTACTAGCACACACACATACAGAGCATCACTTGGACATAAGGTAAAAATAGGGAAAAAAACTTTATAAAAATTTGAATGTTTTAATAAATCGAAAAATTTCATAATTTTACTTTATCATTTAAAACTCTTCATTCAACTGTTTTCTCATGTTAATATTGACCGTATTGATGGCAAACTGTAGCTTTTAAAAATCAAATTAATATTTTAGAAATTTACAACATAAAAACCCTCACATTTTGAAAAACAATTTGCTTTCTTGAAAAAAACCTAGGGCTTTCGCTTTTCATAGATGTTTCGATAACAAATATGTTTCTTTTCTAGTTTTTTTTTTACAGAATGTCTAAAAAGATGCTTAAACCTTGAGCAAAGAGCTTTTTAAGTTTTGCAATTTTTTATTAAAAATAATATATTATTTAGTTTTTCATTTTATTTTCAGATCAATCACAGTTTCCACTCGAACTGTGAGTTTATCAAATTTTTTCATCCATCTTTTGGGTCCCAGGTAAATCATATATCCACAGGTAAATCATATATCCACAGGTAAATCATATATCCACAGGTAAATCATATATCCACAGGTAAATCATATATCCACAGGTAAATCCTTCATTTCAAAGATTTACTTTGAAATGTTTAACGCTGTTAATCCAATCAAAAGTTTTAACCTCCTCCGTGGTCCTTTTTTAAATTTTTTTTATCCTACTGCATCATTGGTTATAGTATTATTATTAGAAAAACTTAAACTGATGGTAAGTAACACTGAATGCAAAGAAGGCAATGGCCGATTCACATTTGTATGTTTATAATTTTGGTGGTTGGTTCCTCTACAAAAGTGACTCGCAAATTTCTATTAAAAAAACATATAGAACTGAACACTCAGAAACCTAGAAAAACGACAATATCTTCTATATTTTTGATGAGATAAAGATTTCAACAGTATCGTTATTAATCAGGCATTGACATCTTTGTATAGATACTCACTGCAAAATTACGCTAAACATTTTAATCAATTCTTAAAATAACAAAAAATTTAGAAAAGTAAACTTCTGATTCCCAGCAGTACCATTTATCATAGACGTGAGTAAAATTAACTTAATCCTCTTTATTTTCTTGAATCTATAAATTTAATCGATTTTGTTCAATATCTATACCCCGCCTGAACCTGAATCATATTGTACAGAGAATTGCTGTAATAAAAATCATTAATATACAAAAATAAAATAAAAAAATATCTCCCTCATTTGTTCTCAGACACAGATAAAGGGTTCGATCATGAAGCTGACCTGAACAGTGACACTTTAATTTATGTTAAATAGATCTCCATTCTAGGCCCATAAAAAGGTACAATTTTCAGGTGTTAGGCGTGAGAGCATTAAAAGATATTACAACTGGAGAAGAGTTTACTGTTAACTACAAGTATGATGTCAAGGACTCACCAGAATGGTTTCAGCAGTTGTATTTAGATATCTGATAGATATATCTATGATATCTGATATATACCTAGATATCTGATATATATGTTTAGGTATATGCCATATATATATATATGTATAGATATTAAATAGATATACCTAGATATCTGATAGATATATCTAGATATTTGATAGATATATCTAGACATCTGATTGATATATTAAGATTTCTGGTTGATAAGCAAACCTAGACGTCTGATAGATTTACCTAGATTTATAGTAGTTATACCTAAATTTATGATAGTTCTACCTAAATTTTTTACAGTTCTACCAAAATCGATAGTTATGCCTAAATTTATGATAATTATACCAAAATTGAAAGTTATGCCTAAATTTATGATAATTATACCAAAATTGATAGTTATGCCTAAATTTATGAGAGTTATGCCTAAATTTATGAGAGTTATGCCTAAGTTTATGATAGCTATATATTTTACCTTCTTTAAATTGTAGAATTAGTTACAAGTTTACTTTTGTTAAGCCATGTAATTGCTTTAAAAATTGTATTAAAAATTGTATTAACTTTAATACACAGAAACCATTAATTTTACCGACGAAAAATTATTCATATAAATGATTTTGTTAAAATTTAAAACAACTTTTTTTTTCATTAAATTAACTAAAATAAAATAAACTAATGTAACAAAATAAAAATGATTTTTATACAAAATTTTAATAAATTAAAAACAATTAAATTGAAAAAAGTTGCAATTTAGTTTTGTATTTATTTAACAGTAAGCATTTTCTAATGATGTAAGAAAAAGTATGAATATTAATTATCTTGTTTAATTAATAACTAAAATATCTTTTTTTTGTAATTAAATTAAATTTTTATCTAATAAATTCTAAAACTTTATTAATTTGTTTTTTAGACAACGATATTGATTTTTTGTTAAATCTGACAATATATTTACTGATTTATCCTTCATCTGACAATATATTTACTGATTTATCCTTCATCTGACAATATATTTACTGATTTATCCTTCATCTGACAATATATTTACTGATTTATCCTTCATCTGACAATATATTTACTGATTTATCCTTCATCTGACAATATATTTACTGATTTATCCTTCATCTGACAATATATTTACTGATTTATCCTTCATCTGACAATATATTTACTGATTTATCCTTCATCTGACAATATATTTACTGATTTATCCTTCATCTGACAATATATTTACTGATTTATCCTTAATCTGACAATATATTTACTAATTCATCCTCAATCTGACAATATATTTACTAATTCATCCTCAATCTGACAATATATTTACTAATTCATCCTCAATCTGACAATATATTTACTTTAATTCATCCTCAATCTGACAATATATTTACTAATTCATCCTCAATCTGACAATATATTTACTAACTCATCCTAAATCTGACAATATATTTACTAATTCATCCTCTATCTGACAATATATTTACTAATTCATCCTCAATCTGACAATTTACTAATTCATCCTCAATCTGACAACATATTTACTAATTCATCCTCAATCTGAAATAAATTTACTAATTCATCCTCAACCTGACAATATATTTACTAATTCATCCTCAATCTGACAATATATTTACTAATTCATCCTCAATCTGACAATAAATTTACCAATTCATCGATGAATGATGTCAAAATCAAGAGGTCCTTATATTCACCTCCAAAACTCGTCTATTTAAACATATAGTATTCATTTTGAGATAAAAATTCACCTACTATCAGATATTCAAATCTACATAGCAACCTTTTTACCATGTATTTATATTTTAGACCGAAAACGTATTAAAAGAATTCAAAAAAGAAATTCACACAATGTAAAAAATAAAATAAGTTTGCTTATTAAATAGTATTATTGGAACCAGCAGTAGAAGGTGACGATGCTATACATATACGTTTGCACTAAATTGTCCGATTGAACTAACCTAACGTACTTTTGCACTAAAGTCAGCTGCACGCATGATATTGTCTTATCCTAACCTAACCCTCCAATAAAACGTTAGTCCGAATGAACGTTAGTGCGAAATTGCGAATGTACGTTAGTCCGATCAATCATTATATTGCAAACAATACGACACCTACATGCATGACCACTAATTTTCAGAAAAATTATTATTATTTGTTAATTTTCTTATTTATTTTAAAGGGTTAGGTTAGGATTGAGACAATTTCTGGGCCGAGCACTACAAAGTTTTCTATTGTTTAATTGTTTAA